GTTAGCACACCTGTCAATCAAAGTGGCCACAGGGGTCTAGTGGAGTCTACACCTCAACAGATCAGGGCTGTTTTAGCACCAAAAGGAAGGCTAACACAGTATTAGGCAGGTGGGCATACTGTTATGCCTGAGCCATGCTAGCTCTGTTAGGACCAAATAACACACTGGCTGCTCTTACTTTGTTTTCTATATCTGCTCTCTTTCCCCTTGTGTGTCTCCATCAGTACGGCTACCTGTCTGTCAGCCAGTCTTTTTCTGTCTCTGGTGTAAACTGGCAATGAACTTGTTTTTTCATGGGTAAATGGCTCTTCCAGGCTGCCATCCTATTGTAATGTCTGGTTTAAGAAAGACAGTCTTTGCAAAAATAGCAGTGTCCCCACCATGACCCGGTGGACCAGTGTCACAGAGAATCAAAGAGAGTATGTGTGCGTGTGTCAGAAAGTTTAAGACTTTGCCTTTTTGTGGCTGAAAAGCTAGTCATTGCAGGCCATCTGGAAACTGGATCTAACAGGTTCAGTTGACAGAAAATGTGTGCGTGTGTGTGTGTGTGTGTGTGTGTGTGTTGATGCCAAATCTGAGCATCTGCAGGTCTGTTTTTTGTTCAGTTTATGCAATAGGATATTCGTGGACCAGTGGCATCCGCTTGGACGCGTGTGTGGCGTGTGCGTACATTGGACAGTTTATAGAGTTTTCCACTTGCTTTGAATGTTTTTGTGCTTTGTGGCAGCAGTGTGGTGGAACAGCCATGAATGGCATCTTTCCCCCATTTGTACTTACTGTTCTCTTCCTCTGGCGTAACGGAACATGTCCCACAATCCCAGCACATGGGATAAAAACAACAACAAAATCAATTCCCTCCAGAGTGAACACCTTCCCTGTCTCATCTCATCATTTGGCCGTTAGCCAGCCTGGACGGCTGACAGACAGGTAGTCGGACTGATGGCAGGCAGTTAGAGATGAACGGACAGACAAGCAGCTGGCTTGTGGATCGGCAGGTGGGAAGCTTTCATTTCACAGCAGAAAAAAAAGAAAAAATGGTGACTTGAAACTGAATAATTTAGCTTAATGCAGCTGGGAAAGTCACTTGGATAATTCATGTATTGGGCACACTTTGTGAGTGTAAGTGTGTTTGCTGTGATTCGTCTGTGTGTGCTTGTGTGTGTGCGCCTGAGTGATTGGGCTTTGAATGAATTACAAAAAGTAAAAACTATCAGGCATCTCTTCACGTGTGTGTGTGTGTGTGTGTGTGTGTGCATGTGTGTGCATGTGTGTGCATGTGTGTGCATGTGTGTGCATGTGTGTGTGTTCGTGTGCTTTGAACGAATAACAAAGTTAGATGTGCACTTGTGACAAATCCCATGTAAAGAGCCTTTCTGAGGCTTGGGGAATAACAAAGAGTTGGCAATGCTTCAACATAAAATACGAAGGACACGCAGAAGCACACACGTGAACAGAGTTACAGACGGCCCAGAATTTTAATTTCGACTGCAGACTTGGTCTCAGTGTCAACGTGGGAGAGTGGGTGGATGAGTAATTCTGCTGAATCCTCTCTTCAGCAGTGGGCTATTCTCCTAGAGAAAGAGGAGGAAAAAAACACTCCACCCCTAAAAAGGAAAAAAAATATATAACACCTCTGACAGTCAGCCTCTGATTTGTAGCTTAGTTATTAGTAAAGTTCATGATGCATTTTTTTCTGATCGTGAAAATATCCTTACAGCTGCAAGGAATAAGGAGGCTTTAATAGATTTTTGTCTCCCACTGCAAGAGGGCTATTAGTGCATCTTTTCAAAAAGAAAAATCAGAATATCATAAACAGTTACACCACAGTCGGTTTGCTTTGCATGCTTATTAATGTACTACTTGGGGGGGGGGAAAGTAAAATGAAATTATTGGGCCATAACCAGCGGGAAGCCAGCTTGAATTTTACTGAACGGCAATTGAATTTATCCTTAGCTGCAGCATCCCTGTGTGGTCTGCAGTCCATGAACTGTGACCACTGCGTCTTTGTACTCCTGTACAAGTGCTTGCTTCTTTAAATTGTCTTGGATTAAATATAATCCCTCTGCAACTAAGGGAATTCTCTCTGCGCTGTTTGGATGCTGCGTTCAGGTATACCGAATGAGCCCTGCAGCCAGAAGAAATGAAATTCTCGTCCTCGCTTGAGCTCAAGGCGGAAGCCTTTCTACATGGCAAGGACTCTTGTTATGTTTCCATTGGATATCCCAGTTTTACATGTGCATGACCTTGTATGAATGGGTGTCTCTGTGAGCCTATGTCTACATGCATACGTTGCTGTTGAATAGGCCGCTTGTGTAAATTTGCTGGCTGTGACTTTGCAGCATTAAGCTTGCACCCTGGTGGATCTGGCAACATTTGCAAGTCTGTGTTTGCATGAATATCAGTGTGAAGCGGCTGACATATTTTTGGGTACATGCAGGTTTAAGAGTGCGGGTTAATTCATTGTGCGTGTGTGTGTGTGTGTTTGGTTTCAGTGAGCGAGTCAGCAGGACTCTGTGCTATTTTTAAGAGATGATTGCAGTATTGTCAGCTGAGACATTTTGCTGAAACACTCACAGTTACAAAGCAGCGCTTAGTTCTAATAGACCTTCAGCATCACTCTGTCCGTACCTACTTGACCTGCTATCCTTTTAGATGGCAGGCTTTCTCATGACATTTTCTCAAAACCTGTATTAAGACATCTCTCCAGTGTTTGATGTTGAAATGTCATTTTCCACACGCTACCAATTTAAGGGTAATTCCTGATTCCTACATGCAGGCACACGGGCATAGACAGATTGTGCCTTTCATGTGTAAAATTTGTCATATGGCTCTTAAATTGACTTTACTTCAACTATGATTGACTAGGGATGTCATGATACCAGAAGTTAAGTTATTGGTACCAAAAACAGCAGAATTATGCAATTGTTGATGTGTAGTTTGATACCACCGTTTACCAAAAGAAAAGGGAGGGGAAAAGCCTGAAACTTACTGCTGTTCAGTTAACAAGAGAGGGTGAAGCTATTCTGCAGCTGCACTAGTTACCACCTTCCATCTGTAGTTTTCACTGTGCTTGTGGGGATCTTTCTTTTTCAGCATGTAAGCATAGACTAGAATAATTATAGTCAGGTCCAGAAGAATTGTAGCTTTGGCACAGACGAGGCCAAGTACTGTGGCATTTTTAGAATTTTGGTCTCGAATGGTATTGTAAGCATCAGTTCTGGTGACATGTCTGTCATAGACTGTATCTAAAAGATTGACAGAGCCATGGGGGTTTAAACCCTCAAGTTTGGCATTTTGGCAGATAATGTGTTAAATTTTTATCAAGACCATATTTAGAAAAGGCAGAGATCAGCTAATGCTCCTGCCTGCTATGTCATTAGGTTAGCAAGGTGCTGTCATCATTTACTGTCAGTTGTGATGCTAATTTGGGCTAGGAGAACACGCAAAAAATGGAATATAGTTGCTAGAGAAACATACCAAAGAAGGTGAAAAGTGCCATCTGTCACCCTGAATGTAGGTTATTTTAGCACCTGTGCTGTATGTGTGCTGGCTAGCAGTCAGTGCCGATTGAAAAGGAAGGCAAGAGCTTGGATTAATCACGACTGTTTAGGATTAAATAATAAGACGTAGTCTGTACATTGTTCTGCCTGTTCTTACGAAGCATTTCCTTGTTAACTCTCTGAGGTCGACGGATGCGCCGGCGCATCAAAATCACATGACCAATTTAAAGTGACACAGCAACAAGATGCAGCGACCCAGAGTCTCCATTTCAACTTGGGTCGAAAGTGCAGACTTCAAGCTATATAGCAGTTTTTAAATTGTGTGGATAGGCCACGTAAAACCAGAGTTATGGAAAAAAATACACGCATCATTTACAACGGGAAGAAATGGTTAAAAACTGCGTTTTCTAGAGACGGTGCTAGCAAACATACCTGATTGTTCTGTAAATAGATTTAAATGGTTATATAAAAAACACCCGAGGCCTTGGCTGCATTTCTAGGTAGATAGTACCATATAACTTTATTGTTTGCAAAACATGTGCATAATTTTTAGAAATGTACAATTTCTATTTGCATTTCAAGTTATGAAAATGATTTGTTAAACATGTTTGTGGTTTTTACAGAAAAAAATATAACTCTTTTCTACTCAGATTTTTGTCTGAATTTAGTTCAATTGTGCTAATATAGTATGTCAAAGTGAAAAAACAACTCCAATTTCAGATATGAGGTTGTGCTGAAAATAATGATACCAAACAAGGCAAGATAAACAGCTTTTAAAGGAGAAATATAGAGGTAAAATCAAAAGTAGTCAAAAACGGCCAATTATACCTTGGACCCAAGAGGGTTAAATTAGAGTAAAATACTGGCAGCTAGATCTCGTCATAAGTAAACAGTTATTTTACAGTACAGCTACAGTATTATACAACAGCAGCTTCTTATTGAAAAATTACATTGCTTCATAGAATGAAAACTTTACAGTATAATGCCTGTTATCATTGTTAATATCCAAAAACCACTTGAAAAACACCAAAACACTTTGTCTAGTTGACATTCCATTCATCTTATGAGCTACTGGCAGAAACAGAGTAAGGCTTTTCTCCTCAAAGGCATCGCCATTTAAAGTGTTAAAAGTGTAAATGCACTTAGAAAGAACGGTGCATTTCTGTACAAAAGTCTTTTCTGTTTTTGCTATTATGTGTGGAAAGTTTTTTCCTTAAAATACGAGTCATTGAAAATAAAAAACAAAACAAAAAACGTCCTCTGTGGAACAGAATGGATTTATGTAACTCTGTTTTGAGTGTTTGTGTTATGAGTTTGTGCAGAAATGGAGAGGTATTTCATAAGCTTTGATTTTATTTCACCTACACAGATTATTGATCGTATCTTCTCTCTCTCTGTTGTTTTCATTTTTTTTTTTTTTTTTAGTTGTCCCATTATTTTTTGTCTGTTTGTTTCCTACACTCTCTTTCTAACTCTACTCTTCTGCCTCTTTTGCTGCAGTGCTGGCCAGTTTCAGAGGGACCATCCAGCATGGCCTCCCGCTGGAAATTGGAGACACGGTGCAAATCCTGGAGAAATGTGAAGGTATGGTGCTCGTTTTATACACTTCCTATGTGGAGACTACATTCAAATTAGCTGCTCGCTCTGAGAAAATTTAGAAAGGAAACGGATTTCCTTTCCTGAATTTGAAACTTGAGTAGTTAGGAACACTTCTGTTTTTTCATTCAACAGATAAATAAAAGCAGCCCTTTACCAAATCAACCATAAATAGTTAGTAGAGTCACGCACAGACTGTCATCCGAATATTTATAAATGCAACCACAAAGCTGTCCGGATACATGCACATTGTTTGGCATAAAAACCTACATGCATGTGGGTGTTTCAGTATGTGCCTACACTGAAAGCTCCCATGGGGGCAACATTACACTTGTTGCATGTCCTCTTGAGGGGTGTTGTGATGTGGTATGTGCACAAAATTAGCACCAAGTTGTCTGTGAAGAGGACCTGTGGAAATTCATGTTTGCTACTGTTTCCTGCACCACAAGCTGGCTGCTCCTCCTGCCTTCCTGCCCACACTGTCTGCTTTTCTCCTCTACATGATTTTTTTGTACTCTCTCTCTCTTTCTGTGGATGCTAATATGTTTTTAGTTGTTTTTTTTTTCTTTCAGCACTTTCCTTTCTGTCCTATACCCGTTTCAAATCCCAGAACAATGTCGAGTCATTTCACAGCAATGCTACGCTTTCATTAACACCAATAAGCAACTGTACACAAATATGTTTCTTCCGGAGCGTGCACTTGACACAAACTGTCACACTTCCTGTTTGGTGGACACACACGCAAACACACACACATACTGAAAGACAGCAAGTCAGTCTATCTTGAAACTTGCCAGCCAGAGGGATGTGATATTGTGGTAAGAGACCCAAAGGAAGTAGACAATAGCACAGCCAGTGGAATGCTTGGCCCAGAAGGGAAGAACTAAATCAAAATCCAGCCAGCAGCACAGAGGCTGAGAGGCAGACTGCTGACAGCAGAGGAGGCAGACTAATGGCCCTGCCTCATGGTGATACTGTTGACACTTCAAAACACAGGAGCTTACACACTGGACGTGTCTTTACTGAAATGCGGCTCCTGTCTGAAAATTCTCCGCCTCAGTAATTGATTTTTGACTTTGTCCTTCGATGGCTCTTTATTTTGTAAGTTACTGACAGCAGTGAGCGCACACTATATAAACTATGATTTTAAATGATGGTTTTCCACACAACCTTGTCAGATAAGCTGTGCACCTTCCTAGACTTTGCCACTTAGCATGTCCCTAGCTTTTCATTTCACCTCAATTTTAACATTTTTTTGTTACTCTGTTCAAATAAAAGTGAATATTGATGTGAAATATCGTTAATTTCTTTTTTGTCTATTTTACCATTTTTAATGTTACTTTTAGATAGGAAATAGAAACCGTTTAGCATAAGATTTCGGTTAGCTTTAGTTGGGCTATCATTAGCTATATTTTTCAGGGTATTACGTTAAGCTATTTCATCCTTTTTTTTTCTTGCGCTAACTGTTAATTACAAACTATTTTAAAGTGCAGTAAACATTATCCTCTATCTTCAGACATATCATTTTTCTATAGCTATTATGACAATCTATTTAAAGGGTTAACCTTTATGTTAAGCTATCATGCTGAATCTCTGCTGATTTTAGCTTTTTACTCTTTCAGCTTTTTGCTAACTTGGCAAAATAGGTGACTGGAACACTGATGTTAACAACACATGGTTGTTGTGGTTTTAACACTGTTACAGAATTAGCATTGTATAGTCTGCTTATAGTATTAATTGTTGTGATATTAGCAACAATTACTAAAATTACTGAGTGACAGCGTTTGTAATTTTAAAAAAAAAATGTTAGCTTGGTTAATTCCTTGTCTTTATGTGCCCACCCTGAAATAATACTATGTTGTATGTTGGTATTACAGATTAAAAACATTAACCACTTAATACATACTAATCTGTTGCAGATGTATTTCCTGATTTGTTGATATTAAGCCTTGCAATGAACACAGCCTAACCTTTGCTAATAAACAAAGATAAAAATTACAACTCTATGAATTCCTGTAACAAATGAGGTAGAAAATACTGCCTAGGTTACAGATGCTTTGGCAAAACCAAATAATATAATATGATTATAATAATCTAATACATTTACATTTGAACTATTTAGTTAATGCTCTTATCTGGCAGGACTTAAAATGGTTGGAATGAGCTTAAATTGTCAGTCTGGAAAAGACCATCAGCTCAAAGCCTCTGCAAATTTGAATGTATTAGATTGTTTCTATCAGTGTTGGGATTTGCAAAAGCATCAAGTATGTACTAATTTGGCTTGAGCTGAGAGTAGAGTGTGAGCAAATGCTAAACCACAGTTTTTTTTCCCCTGTCTTTGCTTTGTATTTTTTTTCTTCAACCTTTGTTATGACAAGGCAAACTGATATTTATAGTGCTTTTCAGCGGCTTTGTGTGTTGCAGGTTTCCTCCTGTATTCGGCTGTGCATTAACCTGTGGTCACTGCAAACACGGGTTGCTAAGAAATACATTCCTCTGTACCTCACTGCTTTTGAGTGGTGTGCCTTAACACATAAAATCTCAAAATCTATACCTGCAAAGTAACAAGGAAGCTGAGCAGTGTGTCAGATCATAGTCAGAAACGTCAAAACCACGAGCGTAAATGCTGATAGGAAAAACATGTTTGCTTCTTGTGTGGCGAAATATAGATGAAATTTCTTAAGAATGTGGCCACTCTTAAGTTTGACTGGCAGTGATGGTGACTGGCTTTTAAAGGGCTTATTTGGCTTTTAAGAGACATGAATATCATGCATGCCAGTTTCGATAAAGATTAGAAAAGAGGGCGTCTGGTATAAGTATTGAAAAAACGGTGTTGGAGAGCGCTTTGAGCCCAGATAGAACCAAAGAATCCAGTGCCTAACAAAGTATATGGAAAATGCTAGTTCACCTTCAGCCCATTATTTGTAATGGAGTGATACAGAAAAATGGTGAAAATATTCAGGGTTCTGTCCCCAGTCGCTGTGTGAGAATTCAAAACATTTTACCAAATGGTGCTCTGGTTGCTTTAGATTCCAGTCACAGAATACGAAGAAGAGAAGTTTTGTTGCTTTGCCTATAATAACAAGTTTATGAGGAAGTCTTTTCATTGACAATAATATAGTCAAAACTATACTGATAACCCGAGTATGCATTTTCACATGAAACTTAGTAAACCACAGGCTTAATGGCTTTGTTGTGAGATATTGTAAAAGGGAAGGGGACTATACAACTTCCTTCTTGCACATACATCTCTTTACTCTGCTCTTAATAGATATACAGTAATTAATTTTCTTTTCCACTTTCACTCTGCACTCCAGGAAAGACATAAAAATATAAATGTGTAATATTCACAGTAACGGCTATAAAGTTAAAGTAGTGCTCTCTCTCTCTCTCCCCCTCCCTCCCTCCCTCCCTCCCTCCAGGATGGTACAGAGGATTCATCCTGAAGAACCCAAATGTGAAGGTGAGCAAACCTTTCCATGATATTGTTTTTCTCGTCTTGCCTACTTATGCTCTCACTAAACCTGATTCCCTCTCTGTGTATTAGCTGGTGTCATGCATTGAATTGAAAGAGTCTCTTGGAACTGTCATTGTTAGCGAAAACTAGCACTTTCACTAGCTGAGATGACAGATGTAAGCAGGAACACCTGTCTTTTCGTCGTATGACTTGTCAGGTTCCCTACTTTGAAAATTGCTCTTTGCAGCCCTGCAAATAGTTTGGTGACACTATGTGATTTTCTCTAGTGCTCCACCCAACATCAGAGTTATAATCAGCCAGACCTACTCAGACAAGTGGAAACACCTGTTTGTGTGCACACTTAAACAACAGCGGAGGAGAGGTTTCTCTTTCACTACGAACAGACATGCTGCTGATACACAAGTACACTGATGTTAGCCAGGAAATGTCTAGAAGTGTGCAAAAGTCTTGAGCTATAAAAATAATTTTAAAGGTGAACTTAAGCAATAGTTCTCCAGGATTTCTGAAGGTGCTGTTTTTTCACTGATTTTCACCTTCCAGTCCTTGTACCTAACCATCTTCAGAGGAATCGTTTTTTTTGTTGAGCCACTCGTCACTAATCTATGAATCACTGAAACATAAAAAAGGCACCTAACCCAAGGGATGAATCAGTGTTGAGTCTGCAAATAACAAACAACTTAGCAACAAAACTGTATCTTTAGTCACTTGGTTGCTAACAGGCTGTAGTTGTCTAGGTTGTTGCTTTTTCTTTAGTTGAAGAAAAAGCCCAAGTGATTACTATGGAACTGTTAGCTGCGTACTTGGCATTTCTTGACATGGTCAGGTGTTCTTAAAGAATTTGAGGAAACTGGAAAAAAAGAAGAAGTGACAGGCCTAAAAAAGGCTACAGCAGATGAACAGAACTGAAAGTCACGTCTCTAAGAACGAGGAAGAATTCCAGCAAAGATGTGACACAGGACCTGAGAGATGCGTCTGACCTTTCAATTGATCCAGCTACTCTTTGCTGAAGCCTCATCAGAAACAATCTCAGTGGAATGCAGTATACAGTAAATGCATGTAGTAATGCAGTAAAAACACACAATGGAACATCATTAGTCATGGATTGGACTCCTGGAGATCCCAGAGTGTGGGATCATGTTGACAGAAAATTAAACAAAATGAAGCCAACATCCAACAACATCCCACCAATGTCCATCAGGAAGCTTGGAGAACTATTCCTGAAGACTACGTAAAGAAATGAAAAGAAAGCTTGACTAAGAGAGTTTAGGCCGTGTTGAAGACTAAAGGTGGCCATACCAAATATTGATTTTAAATATTTTGAAACAATAAGATTTTTGATTTTTGCGTATATGCTGTATTTCCATATATATTTGGACATTTTACAATAAATCGCTGTACCTGTTACCCATTTTCCTTGCAATATATAAAGAAATCAGGGGTGGCTCAAGACTTTTGCACAGTCTGTTACAAATCATGACAAACATGATGGTCGTAGGATAAATGTCCCAACTATCCCCCAAAAATTTCTCTGTGTAAACCTAGCCGTTGCACTGATTAGATACAATGTAAGAGGCAAACGTAACAGTCAAATAATCCTGAAATGAGCAAAGTCAGCAAACTTTGTAAGCATTAAAAAAAAAAGAAAAGAAAAGAAAAAAGGTGGGGGGTTGATTTTTATACATCATGTTTTACTGCCCTGCTAACTGTTAAATTAAGTTAATTTAGGTAATACTTGAAAATAACTGCCCAGTTAAGTACATGGAGGTGTTTTAGGATGAGTGCTGAATGGCAAGACTTTTTTTCAGGAACTGGGCTGAAGCAAACCTAGAGAAAGAGGAATATATAGTTGTTTTAATACATGCCAAGAGATGATATCAAGATAACCCTGAACTTTTTTCTCTATTTTAATTTAATCTACTTTTTTAAATTATTAAGTGCAATTGAATATAAATGAATCCAAATCTGACAAGATGTTAAATAACTTTCAGCCACCACCAATCGCATGAATGATATACCATAAAACCACCTGTGCGCAGATTGTGGAAATTAGATTCATAAGTCATAATGATTCATTTTTTTATTACCACCACTTCCCAAAAAGTCAAAACCCAACTTGAGATATACTCAAACTATATCACTGGGGGCGATGACATCCCAACTTCCCAACAAAAGAAGAGTTGTGCGTGCAGTCAGTCTGATATTTTTTACGACTTTTAAAAACTCATGTGCAGAATAATATATTATAATAAGAGCCAACTGAGGAGTCAAGTGTGTGTTTGTGTTTTGCTTTTACTGCTACTACTACTTTGATCTTCCCCAAGTCAGTGGGGGCATCTTGCAGTTTATTAGCGTCAAACAGAACATGCGCACACACAAACAGCTTTTTAAAACCTTTGCTTGTCTACTAAATGTCATTGCTGCTTGCCTTTATCCTTCTGTTCCCTCCATTTTCCTCTGTTTTTTTCCACAAACACTCTTAACCCTGTATTGATTATGTGCGTCGTTTTCACATCCGCCGCCGTTAAATGCTAATTACAACGGGGAGCAAATTACTCTCGGAGCATTCTCATTAACCTGTTTATCTTCTTGACTAAAGGGGATTTTTCCATCCAGCTACATCCACTTAAAGAATGCCCACGTCAAGAACAAAGGGTAATGTTACATGTCTTTCCTTTGGTTTTCTTTCCATGTTTGTTCATATTGTGGTTTTATATTTAAGGTTACGTTATTTAATTCTCGTTCATGTGCTGATGTTTGTTTGTAGGCAATTCGAGACAGTCATCCCTGATGAAGACTCTGTCATCACAGAGATGACATCAACTCTGCGAGACTGGGGTGCCATGTGGAAGCAGCTCTATGTGGTAAGAACTCTTACACATAACCACACGTGCACACTTTGCATCGATTTGTTGTCACTGCTGCTTAACTGAAACTGCAATTTTTGAGTTCATTTGGCCCTGGGTAATTCAGAAAGCCACAAACAGTCAAAGCTTCTTTTTTTTTTTATATGCATTCATTAGTCGGATTGATTGTGTTTGTGGCCTATTAAACTATCTGGGGTGCTGATTAAATTGAGCTGATGAATACGTCTAGATCAAAGTGCATGCATTTGCAGCAAAAAGCAGCAGGACACTGAAGCTAATTTGCACAAATCCATTTTAAGCTCTTCTTGTCTTCTCTCTCTGGGTCGCTGTCTTCTTCTCAGTGTCGATTTGGTTCTCTAATGTTCGTTCCGTCACTTTTCATGTTTTCACTTATGTTTTTGGGTGGCAGCGTTGACACAACTGTATATTTTGATCTCCTTATCTGTGCCTTTCCTGCTGTCATCCTCATTCTGTCTTCAGCTGATTATGAATTTTCCTTTCATTCATTGCCTTTGACTGTTATTCTTCTCATTTCTTTTCCACCCCCCTCTTCTTTTCTCCCCTTTTCCAAACCTCCAGAAAAATGAGGGGGATTTGTTCCACCGGCTTTGGCACGTGATGAATGAAATCTTGGACCTGAGGAGGCAGGTGCTGGTTGGCCACCTCACTCATGACCGTTTGAGGGACGTCAAGCAGCACATCACAGCAAGATTGGATTGGGGCAACGAGTGAGTAGACTAAGGGCAGTGAGAAGGTTTACAATGTCCACATGTGGCTTATAGACATGTTTGCATTGTTCCTTTTCAAGAACCAATAATTCATTATTTAAACTGCTTCTACCACTGATGATTTTGATTTTAGGTGATTTAAAGGGGCTTGCTATGCTCATTTCCAACTTACCTTATTGTATCCTTATTCATCTTATAGTGGGCTTTTGTGAAGCTCCCTTGGTCACTCTGTGTCTGAAACAATCCAGTTTAGCTCCTTTAGCCCTTCCTGAAACCCAGCTTTCTCCTGATTGGCTGCCTCTCACAAACAGAAGGTTTGGAGAGCAAATGGATGGGGCTTCTGACATTCAAGAGTGAATTTATTTGGTTTACAGGGTTACATATACATACGATGACCTCATTATTTATAGCATAGGTCACATTTAATAGAAGCATCAGCAGAATTAAAGGAACAAAGCTCCTCTCTAATAGTTCAAAGTACAAATTTCCACAGAGGGAACAGGGAGCTTATTTTATTAACTCAGCAGCCTTATCTGTGTTAAGGATGTGAAGCAAAAAATATGGCAAGTGGGGTTTTTGGCCTAAATGAGGTTGTTGGGCATAGTTTCTGGTAAGGATGCCCTAATCCAATACAGATATGAATAACTCACTGGATATATTTCAATACTGATATAAATCCAGCATCAGTGGGCGTTCTTTTCCCATTTGTAAAATGACTAGATCCACAGTAGAAAATAATAAGTTAAGTTTAAGCCTTAAGTTTGACATTTTGGCTGTTATCTTATCTTGAAAGTGGATGTGACCATATTTAAACTCAGCTAATGCATGTTAGCGTAATTGAGGCATTAATTACCATGTGGTTGTGTCCTGATGTTTCATATGCAATGCCATCCCGTAGTAAAAAGCAAAAAAAGGACTGCAACTGTTGTCACTGGCTCGTTCAGTACTGCTACTTCTGTGCCTTTCTGGCAACTTTTTTTTTTTTTGCCAGTTTCTAAATAATCAATAAACAATCCCTGTTTCAATGTGATAAATATAAGGATTCCCAAATGTCAGCGATTCCTGAAGGGAGATGGCTGAAACTACCAAAATGGGCTGAGGGAATGTACGAAGAAGTGGAAAAGCCTGAGTGACATATAATTGAATATTTAAAGAAAAGAAAATAGATCCAAAACTGATGACAACAAAGAGTGGGGACCCAGGAAAGCAAAAGGAAGAAAGGTTAAATGAGAGGTTACAGCGTAGATTTCCTGTAAATCACCTATCAAGAGTGAAGATGATTTTTTTTTTCTCTCCCTTTTTGAGCTTGCCACTGATTCTTGTGATGCCGAAAACTGTTAGTTTTCAGACTGATAGAAAAAACACTGAATTTTAACTTTAACGAGGATTGCTCTTGCAGTGGCCAATATTCTAGTACTTAATATTGTAATGAGGCAGATCTGGCAAATCCAGTCAGTGCGTTCGTAGTTCAGTTTGCTTGATGTTCCATCAGCACAGAAATCCTTTTCAGCAGCTGACTTGAAAAGCTTGGCACTTCTTTGAATATAATTCTTTCCAACCTCTGCTCTCGGTTGCATAACTGCAGTGCAGTATGACAGTCTTCCACAAAATGAATGAATGAGATAAATCAAACTTTATGTGGACTGTGAGGGAGAACCTGCAGAGTTTAAAGTTTTAAAGAAAGTTTTTTTTGTTGTTTTTTTGTTGTTGTTTTTTTTCTGCAGGCAAGGTTGTGTAATCAGTCTAAAAAAAACCCTCACTATACTTTGAGAATTATGAGGAGTATTTTTAGTTACTGACACACAGTAAAATCTGTGAAGCCACCATGACAAGCTGGCTTTTCCATTATAAGCAGTGCTACTCATCTAAAACTTGAAGGAAACTGCATTTGGAAATAAGAGTTTCATCTCTCATTTCTTTCTCTGCTTCTTTCCTGGAGCTTCTTGCAGCTTTCTAACGTCCCTCCTTCTTCCTCAGCCTCTCACTCTTCTTTTCAACTTTCCTTTCTCTTCTGCCTTTTGTTGTCACCTACCCTTCCTGTAGGCATACTCTTCACTCAGTACAATCTCTTTCCCACACAGACAGCACTCTCTCCATCCTTCCTTTCACTTTGCTTTCTTCTTTCCATCCTCTCTGTGCTGTGGGGGTGCAATAGAGAGAGAGAGAGGGACAAAAAAAGAAATCCTCACAACTCGTGTCCCTCTCTCTTTCTGTCTGTCCTTTACCCTTCGCTCTCCTTCATTTCCCTGCTGTGGGCCTTCTTCAAACACACGCACATGCTTCACATCCCTCCCCAGCGATGAGCATCCCTCGCTGCTGTATAGGTTGACCTGGCCTGTCTCTCTTCTTGCCGAAAAGGAGACACACTCAAGTGTGCTGTTTTGGTCCACTAATACCACCGACCAGGAGGATGGGAGCATGTAAGAGTTAGTGTTTATTGAACAACAAGAATGTAGAGGAACAGGCAAGGTTAAATGGTGGAGGACAGGAAAGAGGATAAAGAGGACAGTAGGCATAGCAGGGGGCTAAAGGGAGAGGATTTTTTCTTTCATCTGCTCCACGGAGGAGCTGTCAAATGTATTTAGGCGGCTGACGGGTGATGTGACAGCTGTGCTTTGAGTGTTTGTGGGTCTGTTCGCTTTGTTGTTGATGCTCAGTGCAGCTATAAAGTAGCATCTTAATTAACGCTCAATTGCAATCCATGTACTGTGTTATCTGTATGTATTTTGCAGCTTCAGTGTATTAATACTCTCTGTGACTTTGTGTTTCAGACAGCTTGGCTTGGACCTGGTCCCGAGGCGAGAGTTTAGTATGGTGGACCCCGATGAAATCAGTGTCACAGAGCTTTACAGACTGGTAAGCGTCCACACAGTTCTTCCCTGTTCTCAGATTAAGATCCCATCCAGAGTGCAGATGCGTAAAGGAGCTGGTCTCTTCTAGATTCATCTTGGAAAGAGTACAATAAAGTCTCTATATTCAACACAGCTCACAAGACACACAAAGTAAAGAAAGCAATGCTCTGCTGGGAGGTTGTTGCCCTGCAGAGTGGACAGTGACACTGAATGACAGTGACATCGATGGCAGGAGTTTGGATTGGTGGCCTTAGAGTTCCTGTGTTATTTGCCTTTTTAATGTCCAGTGTATTTACAATTTAGAGCCAGTTGCTTAGGCTGGATACAGGATGTAGACAATGATACAGATCTATTTAGGGTTACTGTTGTATTGTACACAATCTATCCACTTTCTAATAGGAACTGTCATTTGATGCCGAGGGTAACTTTATACAACAGATGGCAAACAACCAAAACATGTCTGACCTCTGAGTATATTGTACTTGGTTTGATCTTGCCAACCTCTAAGTGGATTTAAGGAACTGTCTATCACTGACAACATCTGTCAGCTTCTTCCTCTAAGCTGACAGATGTTGTCAGATAGATAGTAGAGGCCGTGTATGAACTAGCTGCCCGCATAATACCTTGCTACCTTGGCACAGCAGACATTATGGACCTGCTATACTCACTTCCAGTTTCATATTTTTTTGACTTTACAAAATTGACACCTCAATTTTCTGTGGAACTTTTCAGTTCATTGTGTAAAAGTAGCTGCTTTTGCATCCGTCTCTTTAAGCCCCCGCTTCAAAAAAAAGGATGATGGGGTTCTGATTGGCTCGCCTAGCTTCCTCAAACAAAAATTGGTGCTCGTGGGTACTGCTTCTCACTTCACTTATGTGCAGTTTCTGAAAACACCAGGCTGAGAAGCATAATCTACCACTCCTTATTGGACATGCCAGTTTCTTAGATCCATTTGTACATGTAGATGCCAGAGTCTGGGTTTTTGGGACAGAAATTGGCAGAAAATTATGAAGATGCAGGATGATCTGTTAAAAGTACCATCTTACTGTGGGACCTAACAGTGGACTAGTGTTTCAGTCTGTGTGAACCCGTATTTGTACCTGTACAAAATACATGATGGAAATGTGCTAGAAATTGATAAAAGTAGAAAACTCTTACTGCTATGAAATACCAAAGGTAGCACAGGGAGAGTCTCATCAGGGTTGGCTGCATTACCATCCGACTATGATGCAACTGCTGGAGCTGATTATGGAGTCTCAAGCTGGTACTAAGTGGCAACATCCAGAGCTGAATAATTAAGTAAACGCTTAAGTGACAAGTCTGCAATTCCCCCAGTGGCCACTCAAGGTTTGCACCATAAGCGAGTCAGTCAGCATCGACTAGAGAGTTAAAATGGGTGATGTTACAACACTGAAAAACATGTTTTTAGTCTGGTACAGAAAATAGTAATTATCTCCCTGGGTAAGTTCTTCCTTTGTAACAGCTCTACTAAAGTTGTTTTTTTTTAAACACTCTTAATAACTCGATCTGAGTACTGGAGTTAGGTTCATGTCTGCTTTGACTGAGAGGTGTCCCAACAAAGGCAGATTGATGCTAATTGGAGTCACAGAGCTGGATCTCTCCACCATGTCTATGCTGCAGGTTATAAATGGTTGGAAGTAGAGCAACATTTCTTTGACTTTAGCACAGTTAATATGAGCATACACCGCTGGGAAAGCGTATGTGTGTGAGAGAGAAGAAGGAAAGGCACAACAGGGCCATGGTCCAGTTTGAAATTGAAGAGCAGCTTATATAAAAATCTATGGCACTGATCCCTAACGGTTATAGGACTGCTGTAAAGGATGCTGAAGGAGTTCGCTCATAGTATTTAATAACCTTTTTTGAGCTTTTTTCCACATGTTTCTCTGCATTTTACTGAGCTGTTAACAGATCTGCTTTCTCCGAGAATCTTGAACACGTCTCGGTGTGGGCTAAAGCTTTGGGATTGGAAGTCCGTGCTTGACCCTTAGAACCAGCATTTGGCAAAACAAATTTAGAGTAAGCTCAGCGAGTTACTGATACCACTCTCATCCTCGCATGAGGTACATTTGATGGACCGATTTTTTTTTTCTTTTCCCCCTCATCCATCTGCTTCTGTATTTCTCTCCTTCCTTTCCCTACTGTTTGCTCCCTGCCTCTCCTTCCCACTTTCTCCAAGCCCCAATCGCTGCTACCATGGCAACCACTTCTCTGCCCTCGTATGGTGTGGGGGGAATTGTATCACACACACACGCACACACACTCTGTGTCGGCTCTTTCTTCGCAAGGGTAATTGAAGCTCTTAATCCATCTGTTATTTTTTTTTTGTTGTTGTCAAAACAAAAGCAGGAAAAGCACAAAGAAAGCTTTCTCCACCTCTATTAAACGGTGTATAAAATAAACAAGCGACTACCATTTCTCCATACTGGGTCGAGATAAAGGGGCAGGCATTCACCGCCGCCATCCACTTACGAAAATACGCAAGGAACCCTCACACCAAGATGCAATATCTCAATGAGCCCAAATTACATCAATATTTCCCCGTGAGATCTTTGTTTGTGAGAACCGCGTCTTTGTTTCTGTCGGTGCTTCTGCGGCGTGGCTTAATTAAATTGACATGGGGATTATGCGGTGTCTCTGTGTGTACTTGTGTGCGTGTTTGCCTGTGTGTGTGTGTGTGCTGAAGTGCCAGTGCGGTATTACTGTAGGAAAATGTGGCTTAACTGCTGCATTGTTTCAAGGAATTGTGTGATATCTGCTGAGTGAGAATGAAAACAAGCAATGACAGTGGATTAAAAAGAGATTTTATGTATGCCTGTAAATGCCTTAATGCTATCTCATAAACACTTCTCATTCTATATAATGAGAAACAACACTGTAAATGTAAACATGGTATATGCATGCCAATTTAAGTCTATTTAAAAAAACAAAGGAAAAGTAATTACAGGGTCATAGAAGGTGGTGGTATTCCTAGCAAAAATTCCAAGCTTGTGGATTTATGAGAAAAAACCCAGCTCTGTATTTTCTGATAATAAAATAATACATCTACAAGGAAAAAACCCCAAATATAATATTCTTTTTTCCCATTTTTTCCTTGAACAAAGAAGGTACAACATCTACATATGGTAATAGTGATTATTCACAGACAGCAGTACCTCAGGTAGTAGTTTCCTGGCTCAGAATGGGCCTTTGCGGTTGGGTAGCTGTGCCTATAAGTATTATTTGATACTTCAGTCTGTGTTACTGCACATAACAGAAATACATACATTTTCTTCTTATTGCTGGCCATTTGAAAAAGTCTTCAAAAGCGTTATATCCTTCCCCAAGGATGACTAAATCATTTCCTGATGATTTTCCTCTGGGGTACATTCACAGCTACTTTAGTGTGTGCCAGGAGAAACCCTGTATTAGTGACTGTCTGGAAAAGCGTATATAGCAGCCTGAAAACATATGCTTCCCTGAAGAATTAGTGAAGAACAGCATAGTGAATCAACAATTTTCTCTTTTTGTCAGATTAGGGGAAAGAAAAACCCCTACTTTGTAATACCATACGACAAAAATGCATCAAAACTAAATATTTGTGGAGATGGAGGACCAGATTTTTATTGGACTTAAATCCTTTAAACAGACACTTGTTGAAGCATTATATTTGGTTGTAGCTTTAAAGTGAGAAAAAAACCCTTTATGTCTAATTAGCTCATGCGAGTCATGTGTAGAGCAAAGACTAATCAGCTTTAGGCTTTCCATTGTTTTCCTCTGGGACTGAGCTCAGAGCGTGAGCAGAGAAGACCCGAGTTTAGATCCCCCAGTGATGACTTCATTAACAGTGGAAGCTCCCTCTGTAGTAATAGATCATAGCTCAGCTCTTTGCCCTGGACATGTGGTTGTAATATTTCTTCTTATGGTTCAGCTTATCACTAAAGAGAGACAAGCCTTCATACAGATCTTTAACTTCCTGCACGACTTTAATCCTTGAGTTTAAAAGAGGGATGAAAGGAGGCTTAAACATTAATGTAGAAAGGGACAGAAAGAACAGCTACAAATTTGTGGCCTCAGTTTGACCTGTCTCCTCTAGAATTTCCTTGTCGTTTGACAGTCTGTAGGACAGTTTGGCTGGCACACACACGGTCATGTTCTCGTTCTCTGTTCAGCTACCTCTCAGCCTCTCCTTGTTGACCACACCATTGTGTGTTGCCAGTCAGGCTGCCAGCCTGTCATGTCTATGCTTTGTGTCTAGTCATGCTGAAGCTGTCACAAAACCACACACTGTTCCCGCCGGGCTGCTGGCTGAAATGACACACTGAAAATAACCTCGTAATAAAATCCCACAGTATAAATTAGGCCTTCCTCAGACCTAGTAATTTTACGTCAGAACCAGGAGTTCAGCCCTGCTGGGAGTAGTTTGTCTTGCTGTTAGATAATTCTGTTTCTCTGTTTCTTTTCGGGGATCTCACACAAAAACAAAGTGTTTTTATAGTTTTGACAGAAACTGCAAAGGTAAAAGGATTTGTAGCATGGTTTTTCAGCACATTTAGAGAACTTGTTTCTTAATCTCACAATTTTTCACTTTAGTATGCAAATCATCATCTCTGCAGACAGGTTTTTGTAAAGTTGAGCTAATCTGTCTGGCTGCAGGGAAAAACATTACAGGTCTTGTGACCGGTAATGCAAAGTGGTAGCGAAACTTGAGTGAATCTTGACACGTGGTGGCTGGAGTGACACGTTCTCTTTTTAACTTTGGTTTGTTAGCTTTTGAACTTTTTCAGTTTCATAGCTGCTTTGCTAATAGCTGAGGAGGGTGTTTTGACGGGTCAGTGTCTTCCATGCAAACTAAAGGCTACGTTAGCAATCTGCTAGCAACTGAAGCAATCATGAGGAGGTTTTTGGTACAGCATCCTCTTTGTGACCAACCTCACCCACTGTAGCAACTGCGAGCAACACACGTTTTACCCTAGCAACCAGAGTTGCCAGGAGGTCACTGACCTGTCTCTCGGCCAGAGAGAGCATGAGTGTGTGTGTGTGGGTGTGTGGGTGACTGAAGCCTTAAATGGAACTTCTGACTACATTTGCACATAGGGTAACTAACTGTGAATGCGACAGTATCCGTTAATACCTTGAATTAAGACATGACAAGTGTGTTTTAGTTTGTTTTAGTAAGATTATTTGTTGCCTGGTACGCAGCTTCATAATTCCTTGAGCTTGAAATGTTGCGCCAACAAGTGCATTTCAACAAAGTCACCTATGCTGTACAATGCAACACTATTTAAATTTGACAACCAAACCATCATTATAATCCTGTAAAACATATTATATCCACTATTAATATACTGTGTGTGTGTTGTTTTGTGGTGAAGCTTTACTACACTCAGTTCTTGCATTGTCTTTATCCGTTTCCCTTTCCTCTGTCCTGATCCCCATCTCTTGCTCCCTTCCTTCCGATTTTCTTATGTTTTACAACAGAAGTGGATGCGAGGCCAAATTTGGCAGTGGCTCTATTGGCCATCTGGTGCTTTGTGTATATTTGTGTGTATGTGTGTGTTGTGCGCGTGTGTATTTTTGGCTGTTGACAGCAGATTATGATGAACCTTTTATAAACAGAGCTCTAATGTGTGTACACACACCATACCATCCTGTATGAGGCCTTATTGATCTTTTTGGTACAGATTGATGTAATATGGCAAGTAATATCATCCACCACTAAAGCACTGAGCTCTGTAATTGTGCTGAACTATTTGACTTTTTTTTTTTTTTTTTTTTTTTTTAAACGTTTGTGTGAATCGCAATGTTTAAGATTTTGCTTTCTGCTTCTTTCTGTCAAAAAACCCCCGATTTGGCCTCCTTAAAGATAAAGTGTTGTGCGGATGTCTTGCCCATGTTGTTGCCATTTATTGAAACAGGCAGACATGCATAGAAAGTGTAAAGTGTGTAAAGTGTGCGTGTTAGTCCCCATAGGGAAATAGTTCCTCTGCATTTAATCCATTCACCCAGTGAAGCAGTGGGCAGCCACCAGTGCAGCGCCCGGGGAGCAGTGTGTAGGGACGGTACCTTGCTCAGGGGTACCTCAGGGTAGCCGTTCAGTGGAGTCGAACCCCCGACCCCCGATCATGGGGCCACCACTCTACCTACTGAGCTATCCCTGCCCCACATACAACATATAAGGGAAAATCCAAATTTATAGACTTTAACAAGCTTGAAAGTCTGTATTTTGTATACACAGACTGAATTCTCAGTCTGCTTTTGTAATTAAAGTAGTCTTCAGGTATAGTTCTCAAGGTTTCTTACCTGGAGAGGACATTACAAAGTTCAAACGCCTTCCAGATGATACAGCATGGTGGAACTAAATCTGAGAGTACTTTTTTGCAATCATAATTCCATCAATTTTGACAAAAACCTAACAGCACTGGCTGAAAATCAGCCCCAAACCTTGACATAGCTTCTACCGTGTTTTACAGATGCCTGTAGAGGCTCCCTCCTGACCTTTTCCATACATATTGCCTTCTTTAAGAATGGCTTCTTGACAGCCAGCCTTCCACTGAGAAGCCAAGAGGTCATTCCTGATGAAGCTTCGGCGAACAGTAGATGAATCAACTAAAGTACCAGATACATCACAAGAAATGAGCGTGGTTCTTTAAAAGAAAAATGTAACGTAATGAGGGGTGGCTCAAGAGTTTTGCACATCACTTTAAATGCTCGGCAAGGTGCTGAGTTGATGTATTGGCATAAAGGCAGCAACAAAGAAAGAGCCAGACAGTGCAGCTTCAACTCCCACATTTTAGCCTCTGAGCTGCCAGCCTGCAGTATTACATCCCATATTAGCCCGATGTATATCAACATCTATATCTTTCTGCTCTTCAAATATATGCAAATTCAAATCAGTCCTTCTGCCTACAGTGAGAAGCCTCAGGGGAATATTACCTGTTATTGAATTCATCACTAATACAGCAGCTTTGATTTGAGAGGTTATGAGTTTTTAACCTTCTTTGAATCCACCTGTATAACTCTGTATTTCAACTGCAGCTGTTCTTGTTTCAAGTTGTTTTCTTGTTTATTTGAATTTTTCCCAGTTTGCATAATTACAGCTAAAACGTAATATATAACGGTTTCCTTTATATAGAGAAATCTGCTTGTGCTGATTTTCTTCTCTCGCCTGCAGATGGAACACCGACATCGTAAGAAGGAGACATCCACCCCTGCTAGCACCCATCATCTGTTTGTCCACGTGAAGAGTCTAATGAGCGCTAATCTGGGGGAGGAGCTGGAAGTCTTCTTTCACATTTACGATGGACGGGAGAACCGGCCACTCAGGTAGAGACTTTACAGGCAATACGCCTTTATGATTCTAATTGGGCCTTTTCAAAAATCAAATATTTTTCCATCTAGCCTGTAGTGCTGTTTGTGTAGCTAGATTGTTTTTGAACAAGTTGCCCAGTTTTGGAAAAATGAAGTTTAGAGATGGTTGCATTATCTTTAATGGCTGAACTAAGTGTAAAGGGAAAAGTGTCATTCTTACCATGACGAGAGGCCCATACTAGCGTCAGCATTACAGGATGTATGTCTTGCCATTAGCCAAACTGTTAGCTCATTAGCTAAATTTAGGTTGTTGCGTGCTTATGTTTGGTGAATATAGACCGTGTCATTTTTACCAGGTCGCCTAACCACAAGTCTACAAAGAGACATTATTTAATTTTTATTTAATTTATTTATTTAGCATTTTTTCTTCCTCTTTTTTGTTGTTTTAGCATGTTGAGAACTAGAATGCCAGTTTCATTTAACGCCATTGTATCGGTGGAAATTGGATACTTGTACATTTGAACTCAAACCAAAACTTTCTGAGTGATGTGATGAAGTGATGGTTTCCATCACTGTGACATGTTATGATTTATTTATTTTTGGTCTTTACAGTGTGTTTTTAGACCAAGCAGCTTGATTTATCAGCTTGTATGTTGTTTTCTTGGATTGTAGGTCGCAGGAAAACAGTTCCTTGCTTGTTCTTAAGGTTGTATGGTTTATGGCATTAAATCCTGTGGGAGAGCGAAATGCAAATGAGCTGCTCTGTTGATTGTGAACGCCCTGTGCCAAATGGCTCCCCTTGGACTGCTCTTAATTATATTCATGAAGATTTATTAAATGAAGCAGGTTATTAAAGTGCACTTGAACACACAAAATTGGACAAGGCCATGTTATTTTATTTCTTTATTTATTTTTAGGAAAAAAATGTCCATGTAAAAGCTGATCCTGGTGCCCTGGGAGGTTGCATGTGTTACTTGCATACATGCTTACACACCAGCAGATACCTCACTGTTCTCCTGACAGGGTGTTGCCCAAATGGAAGACTGTGTTGAAACTCCCTGGTTTCAAAGTTCAAAGTGAAGAAATTTTGTTTCATGTCACAAACGAGTGAATTTGTCAGGCAAAAGAAAAGCGAGTGGGTTGAAAAATGAGCACAGCAGCACCGAAACTTCTTTTGATAAGTCGTGCTTGTGTGAGAATACTCTCCGCCCCGCAGGGTCACATCAGAGGAATTAGAATGGTGTTGATGGGACTCTTTTTTTTTTTTTTTTAATTATTACTCTCTATTATTATCCAGTAGCCCTACTTCAGTTTCTATTGTAATCCAATTTATGATTCATCCATATTGCTGGCAAGTTTCTTTAAACTTTACATGAAAATAGCTGCGGTTTCCACCGTTCCTGAAGAATTATAGCACAAAAGAAGGAAGGCGCTATCTTTTCTTTTTTACAAGTTTGCCATTTTGTTTGGTTGCAATGATGTTATTAATCTGAGAGAAAAATAGGGCTATAACTGTCATAGAGTTACGGCGCGTGGTACACCCTGGACAGGTCATCAGTCTGTCACAGGCTGGGATGCTGAGTAAACCATTGAAATTTTGAACTGAAAGATGTTATTGTGTTTGTATAGAGAATACACATTTTCAACTAGTTTCTAAGTTGTGGACCGGAGCAACAAAACGACAAATTAAATTCTTAAAAAAAAAAAATACTGGCTGAAACTTTGATTCATAATAACTGGGTAAGGACAAACCAAGCTTGCATCAGTTCAGTATCCAGAGAGTATCCAGAGAAATCGGTGTGCAAGGGACAAGGCCAAAACCCAGTATCAGATCGGGAAGAGCCATTGGGGTGATCGTGGCTCAAGAGTTGGGCATTTGTCTTGGGCCGGTTCGAGCCCCGACTCCGACAGTCTTGGTCGTTGTGTCCTCGTGCAAGACACTTCACCCTTTGCCTACTGGTGGTGGTCAGAGGGCCCGGTGGCGCCAGTGTCCGGCAGCCTCGCCTCTGTCAGTGCACCCCAGGGTGGCTGTGGCTACAATGTAGCTTGCCATCACCAGTGTGTGAGTGGGTGGTTGATTGTGTATAGTGTAAAGCGCTTTGGGGTCCTTAGGACCAAGTAAAGCGCTATACAAACACAGACCATTGTCAGTGAACACAGTTTGTCACTGCATCCACAAAAGCGAGTCAAAATAAAAAAAATAAATAAACAAGACCCATGAAACTGACCACCTTCTGTGGGCTTGTCTCAAAGGAAAAGTGGAAACCTGTGCTGTGGTCTGACCAGTGGGCTAAACAGCTGTAATATCATGTGGTTTGTTATCAGCACACACTTTTAAAGTCAACAACTTTAGCGAGATGAGGGGGGATTTAATAAAGTAATGCGTGCATCTGTGAAGGACACATTAATGCTGAAAAACACGTACATGTTTTGGAGCAGTGTATATGCTCCAGTTGGCATGTTTTTCAGGGGTGAACCTTTGCTTATTTCAGTAAGATAATGCTAAGACACGTTCTGCACTTGTGTATTACAACAGGAGGTAAATGTCTATGTGTGCTAAAGTGGGCTGCCTGCAGTCCAGACATGTTACTCACTGAAAGCATAAGGACCATTACTACCAAGAAATGTTCCTCAAATGAATATAGAAGAACACATTCTTGTTCTCCTCTTTCCAGGTTGCTGGACATCAAAATTCACTATTGCAAAATATAAGCTTTGGTACTGGTTAACATGTTAAGCTTACATGTGAAAGATCCCTGGTTCGATTCCCCCTCAGGGTTTCACAAGGTAGCGTATTCCTAGTGCTGGTCCTGGGCCTGGATAAATGTGAGGGTTGGTTCAGGAAGGGTCCAGCTTAAAATCTGTATCTAAGTAAAATATAGCTTTCAATTAATTTTACTTTACTACCGCTTGTATTTCTTAAAATTTTAGTGTCCCTGTAAAATATATGTCTTAGTAATAATTAAGGTTTTTTTCAGAGTGAAAGTGGGTACTTTTTTGTCGTGAAGTGGGTAATTAGTCTTCAGCGCCATCGTATCATGTTCCACTTGAAGCCCTTTTGTTCTTTCTTTTAAACTGTCACTCTTTTTATGTCATCATTTTTTTCCTCTTTTCTTTCAATCTTCTTGCTTCTTTGAAAGATTGAGTGCCTTAGCTGAGCATGAGTAATTACACTCGCTAAGCTTAAATATATATTTGAAGTGGATTAAAAATCCATTTTCTGGAGTCGAGTAAAGTCCACTTCAGTAATGCTGAAATTATATACTTAACAGCAGCTTCGGAATTCATGATGCATCACAAATGAAATGTGAATTTATCCAAACTCAATCCAGCAAGAGAGGACACAGACAAAGCTATATTTTTCTCATAACCACTTATGTTGTTGCCTAAATCAACAATTTGGGTTTTCTTGCAATTTTGAGGGATAAAGGCAGTCAGAGGCTTCAACCACAGTGCCTTTATGCTTCTAATTTTCTACGTCTGCAAGTGCATTTGCTTGCATCAGTTGTCTTTTAGGAAAATCTCGCAGTGGCAGCTCGCCAACGTGTCTCTCACTGTCTGGTCACATGCATAAACAGAGACGCACTCATTTACACAATCTGGCTGGCAGAGAGCCATTTTACTGCTTCCCT